AGTGAGAAAGAGGAAGACCCTCAACAAGATGGATTGACACAGTAGCTGCAACAATGGCCTCAAATATGATTGTGAGGATGGTGCAGGACCAGACAGTGTTTTGTTCCGTTGCACACAGGGTTACTATGAGTCAAAACAGACTCGACGGCGCCTAACAACAACAACAATAAGCTCAACGAAGGCTACACATTTTCCTCTGAGTTCTGCTTTGGCTGCATCCTACAGATTAGATTATGTCATTCTCTTTCCGGAGTAAATAGTATGTACTTTCCATTTTTATTACCTCTTTAACCCAATATTTATTTAGAAGATTGTTTTAAAATTCCAGGGAGTGGAAGACTGTGGTTAAGGAATACAGTCCACAAAATAAAAACTTTTTAACAGTCCTTACAACCTCCTTTACAACTTATGACACGGTCACTTTCTGAAAATATTCTCTTATGTTTGAATGGGTAGAGTTTTATAGATCTTGTTAAATGTGTTTTCCAAAATCTGTCCAACTTCACTCGTCTGTATCTCTGACTTGTCATTTTCTGCGATGGGCTACTGTCTTGAAGGACCCAGATTCCAGTGCCAGGGGAGAACTCCCAGATGTAGTCTGACCCCAGCCCCAGATAACAACCTTGCAAACTCCCTCTACAGATACAGCTGCCTGGGATGCTTGGGGAGGAGGGAGGGACAGAATGAGTGGTCCCAGGGACTCGTCTCGTCCCTGGCCAAGGGTCAGTGTTCCTATCCTTGGCTTCCAGCCAGAAGGAAAGTGCTCTCCACTTTCAGTTTCCAAACCCCTGGGGAGACGTGTTCCCGGCTCAAGGCCTCACAGTGACTTTTGGACTGGAGGCCCAGACAGAGGGTGAGGTGTGCCCAGGTCTCACAGAATCAAGCTGAGGGTTTCCCACTGGTCATGACCCCAAGATAGGAATCCAAGCCCTGGGTTGCCATGGAAATGGATCACCTTCCCATTGCTAAGCAACCAGGGTCCAGTCTGGCGGGTCCTGAATCCCCCGTGGTCGGAGCAGCTAATATTAAGGATCTGCTGTGCGCACGTATGTCTCCTCTGCCCTCTTGTGGTCACTCCAGCCCAGGGGATGAGGTGCACGGTCCCTGCTCAGCTGGGGAGAGCTGGAACCAGAATTTGATCCAAGTCTATGCCCCAAAGCCACCCTCAAGCTAGGCCAAGGTGGGACCCCTTTAACAGTATCTGGGTGCTCCAGAGGCCTAAACAACTCCTCAGAACAGAGGCTTTGGAAATCCAAACCACAATGAGATACCACTTCACATGCACTAGGGTGACTATAAAAACAATAATAATATCAGCAGTAACAAGAAAATGGACAACAGCAAGTGTTGGCTTCTAAGAATGCTCCTTCGGAGAAAGGATGGTGAGACTACATCTTGCACACTTTTG